CCCCCAGCCGCCGCCCCCGCCCCAGCCCCAGCCGGTGAGTGAGGGAGGGAGCCGGGGAGGGAGGGAGGGGGGGTGAGGGCCCTCCGGCCAGGGGCAGCTTAAGGCTCACGGGTGCCCCCCCTTCCCTTCCCACACTGACCCCCCGTCCGTTTTAGTGGTTGACTGGTCGGACCAGACATGCCAGGCAAGTTGCAGCAACTGACACCTGCATTTGGCGCCATCGGGTTCCTTTCAAACACAGCCCCTGGCCCTGCACCTCGCCCACAAGAGACAGACCATAGCCCTTGGCTGCACCCTGGTCAGCCTGCACTCCTCTCCTCGTATCAATTTTTTTAAAACAAATCTTCATTCGTGGGTTTTTTTTTCCTTTCCACCCTTTCCCCAACTTTGTGGTGCCCCCTTTGGCCCTGGTGCTTCGTCTGCTTCATGGTTCATCCACCCCTACTGCCAGCCCTTCCTTGGGGGGTGGGGGCGAGGCAGCAGTGGGGCTTCTGGGCACCCGGCTCCTGCCCCTTCGCTGCTGGCAGGCAAACCCACTGACTCCGAGAGTCTTCTGCCCAGGGGAGGCCCCCCCCTCCAGCATCCCGCGGGCTGCAGTGAGGCTCGCCAGAAAGCAAAGGTAAGGTGGACCAACACAGCATCTCCGGAAGCAGGCCACAGCGGCCAGGCCCATCGCCCACAGAAGCAGCAGCCGACCCACCCAGCAGGGGCACAGGAAGGGCAGAGAGCAACAACAAGGGCACTGCCACCCCCCTGCCACTGCAGAAGAGTCCTCCGGTGGAGGGACGGCCAGGCAAGCCCCAAGGGGCACGTGGGGAGGAGGAGCATTCCCCAGACCAGGTGCCCGCCTCCAGTTCCGGCCCACCTCACCGAGAACGGGGCTTGGGGGGGGGGCAGGCTGTCTGGGACAGGCAGTGCTCCAAGGAGCCTGGGCCACAAGACGTTCATTTCACTTTAGTTTGTTTTTCACATTTGTATCCCGCCCATCCCGTGAGCGGGCTCAGGGCGGGTCACCTCCAAGGCTCCCTCTCAGGGGTGGGGTCTTGTGAGAAAAAATCCTACTGTGTGAGCTCCTCCTGGCACTAACGTTGTGTGCGAGCTGCTTCAGTGAGTTTGCTCTTCTGGAGCCCCCTCCTTCCTGAGCGGAGACAAAAATGTGGAGGCTAAAAGACTGTGAGCTGGCTTAGAGGGAACCCTGGTCACATCATCTCAAATAATACCATAAGGTTTAAAACACAATAAAGCATTACATTACAAGCATTTAAAATCAGTAGTTAGAGCTGCTGGTGCAGATTCCGACCCATTCATACTGATTGCTATGGCCGCTTGCTGGCAGATGGGTGGTCAGTAGGAAGGAGAAAGCCAGGGGTCATTTCGTAGAAAAAGAGGTGCAGGCACTCATTAGCATAACTTATTTGCATATGCCACACCCTCTGACATCACTGGAAGTGTGTCAGAAGGCAACACCCACCGCTCAGGCTCCACTGGACTGTTTTGGATGGCTAGCTATTGGGGGGCTGGGAACGTGCAGATCTGTCCTCACAGAGGAGGGAGAGCTTGTACCTGAAGGTGGGCCGGGGGGGGCTCTGCAACTTACCTGGCTGCTTCTTGCTCCTCGTGGCCCGACTGAGGGCTGCTGGGAGCGGGGGGGGGGGGCCTTGTTGCATGTGCCCGCCCTCTGGGCTCCTTACTGCCGGAGCTCCGCTCCTGTGCGCTCCCGCAGGAAATGACCCCTGGAGACAGCTAGTAGGTAGGTTTAGGCTCTTAATGGTGAGACCAGCACTTTGAATTGGGCCTGGAAACAGACGGACAGACGGTGTGGCTCTTTCCAGCATGGGTGTGTGTGTGTGATACAGTTCCTGTATCCGCCCCCACACTGTAGCCCATACTTTGGAACCACTGACATTTCTGGACACTTTTCAAAGGCAGTCGCGGGCAGGAGGCATCATGGTAGCATTTATTCATCGACTTGCTTTCTTTTCCTGCCGAGGCTCAAGGGAGAGGACAGAATACTGAAAACACTGCGGCCAGACCGCATAAAACAGCCGATGAGCCAGGTGCTCCTGGGACGAGGGTTGTCGCATTAGAAAGGAAATACAGGCAAGAGACGAGGCTTAGGCAGGACATATCGTGAACAGTCCAGAAAGCGGGTTTCCAAGCTAGAAGACGATGCTGCAGAAAGTAAGATGAGGCCGAGAAGAAACACGGTTGTCGGCTGTAATCCTGTTCCCTCGTGAAAATGTTCTCCTGAAGGTTTCTGCGTTGTGCCTTCTGCAGACTACACCCAACCTGGGTGCGTTCATCAGGGCATGGAGCCTGGTGGCTGGAACCCCCTTTCCAAGGCATGGCCAGGTTTACTTATGCGTGCTCCTGTCCCACTCTTCTCCCTGACCTGGGGACTCAAAGCAGCTGTGGGCATCATTCACTCCCCCCCCCCAATTTAATCCTCACAACAACAGCCTTGTGAGGGTGGGTTAGGCTGAGAGATTGGGATGGGCCCCCAAAAGTGTTCCCTCTCAGCTGAGCTAGTGTGAGCCAGCTCACAGTTTTTTAGCCTTCGGCTCACACGTTTTTGTCTTGGCTCAGGAAGGAGGGCTCCAGAGCAAACTGAATGATGCAGCAGCTGAATCGCTCGCTCACAGCTTTAATGCCAGTAGCTCAGAAAGTAGAATTTTTGCTCACAGGACTCCACAGCTTAGAGGGAGGACTGGCCGCAAGTCACCTAGCGGGCTTCCATGGCTGAGTGAGGGATTCGAACTCAGTCATCCCAAGGCCTCATCCGGCACTCTAAGCACCAGACCACACCAGCCCTCAGAGGCACAAAGGAGACATAGAATAGATTGTTAGAGTTGGAAGGGACCTTGCAGGTCATCTAGTCCAACCCCCTGCACTCTGCAGGAGCAGAGCCGAAAGACGGCCCTACAACATATCCGAAAGAGGATCGCCCAGCCTCCGCTTGAAAACGTCCAGCGAAGGAGCCTCCACCACCTCCCGAGGCAGTCTGTTCCACTGCTCAACCACCCTCACAGTCAGGAAGTTTCTCCTGATATTTAGCCGGTATCGACTCCCTTGTAATTTCCACCCATTAGATCTAGTCTTGCAATCCGGAGCAAGAGAGAATAGATCTGCTTCATCTTCTACATGAGAGCCCTTCAGATACTTGAAGACTGCAATCGTGTCCCCTCTAAGCCTTCTTTTTCCCAGGCTAATCAGACCCAACTCTTTCAGCCTTTCCTCGTAAGACTTGGACTCCAACCCTCTCACCATCCTGGTTGCCCTCTTCTGGACACGCTCAAGCTTGTCAACATCCTTCCTAAAATGTGGTGCCCAGAACTGGCCACAGGACTCCAGGCAAGGCCTGACCATAGCAGAATAGAGCGGAACGACCACCTCCTGTGATCTGGACACAAGGCTTCTGTGAATGCATCCTAAGATCGCACTGCAGGCTCATATCGGCCAAGGCTGATGTATCAGAGGTGACATATCGGCCAAGGCTGATAAGAGGCACTGTGTGCCACAGAGGAAGCCAGAGCTTCCAACCACAGGCCACGATCCAGCAGCACCGACAAGCCACAAATCTGCAGACGGGGCAAGACTGAGACTGGCCGATACCCTTAACTGGGATAAGTTTAAGAGGCCCTGTGGCATTACCTCCTCCCCCTCCCAGGGAGAGAGAAGTAATGTTCAGTTCTTGTGTTCAGAGGGCTGAGAAGATAAAGAGTCTCTGTAAAATACAATAAGGCTCAGAAAAGCTAAAGGCAGCAGGTGAAGAGGAAGACCCACAAGGGCCCTCCGTTGGCAAGACCCAAGCGAGTCTGTCAGCCACAGGAGGTTCTTCATTCGCCATAAGTCAGAGAAGTGTCTTGAGGGCCCTTAGTGCGCGCGCACCCATTCAGGGGGCTGTCGTAATCTGTGGTCCTCAGTTGTCGCCTACTGAGCTTGTATGCAAATCCAGCTCTGCCCGCAGAGACTGACACCGAAGGGGGAGCCCAAATAGTGCCCGCAGGCCCCGGAAGGAACTGTGCAGTGGAGGCAAACCCCAGAATGGCCACGCCTGACTGGCAGGTGAGCGAAGCGCCAGTCTCTGCAACCTTCGTCTGCAGCACCCGCTGGCGAGTGGCATTGTGCGCCAGGAGGCGAGGTGGGAGTTCCCCGGGCAGGCTCCCCTCCACTTACAGCTGCTGGATGACCTTGGGAAAGCCGTAGTTCTGACAAGAGCTGTTCTTGAAAAAAGAGCCGTTTCTGTCAAGAGCTCTCTCAGCCCCACCTACCTCAGAGGGTGTGTCCTGCTGTGGGGAGGGGGAGGGGAAGGAGTTTGTAGACTCAAGAGTGAAGGGCCAGGGGCACAAATCCAATCTCTCCTCTCTCTTTTCTTGGCCCGCCTCCTGTTCCCGGGCAACCCCCTCTTCCCACCTAGAGGAGCCCGACCCGCTCGTGGAGAAGGAGGGGCAGAACATCCTGCTGCAGATCCAGGGGAAGTACGCCTACTTCCGCCCCACCATCCAGGTGGAGCTGGAGCACGAGGACCCCAAGACCACCCGGGAGATCTTCATCCGGAGTGAGTGAGTGAGTGGGGGTGGGGGGTGGGGAGGGGGCCGCCTCGCCCTCTTCCGGGGGACGGGGAGACGGGGGCGGCCAAAGAGAACCTCTTCTGACCCCGACAGGCTGGAGACTGGAAGACAAGATGCTGGGCGTCTTGGCCAAGTGCTTGCCGACCCTCACCAGCCTCCAAGCCATCCGGTGAGTGAGGAGCGGCCAAGGGGGAGACGCCCCGGGCCAGAAAGCCACGCTGGGACCAGCGGCACTCCCCCGGGCAGGGCGCTTGTGCTCTTGGCTGCCCAGGGAGGCCGCTCGGCCGGCTTTCGCGAACCCTGGGATCCTCCTCTCTCGGGTCACCCGCAGGCTTGAGGGGCCCTGGATCCCCGGCCCCTCCGACTGCCGCTGGGCCCGCTGGGTGCCCGGGACTGACGCGTGGCAGAGGGGCTTCCCTGGGCTGTGCGGAGAGGGGCTTCATTTCTCTGGGCGGCACCCGCTTTGGGGCAGGAGGCCCTGCCGCTCCTTCCGTCCCTGGGACTCTGCCGGGGGCCTTTTGGCCAGCAGCCCGGCCCTCTTCCCGTGCCCCCTTCTGCTTGCCTTTCAGCCTCTGGAAGGTGGGCCTGACGGACCTCTCCCTGCTCTCCTTGATCTCCATCCTGCCCACCTGCCCCAACCTGAAGTAAGGAAGCTCTGAGGCTCTTGGCCCGCGGGAGGGGAGGGGAGGGGTGGGGAGACCCCTCAGGGGCCGTGTTTGCTGTAGTGGTTAAGGGTGCAGAGGACTCTAATCTGGGAGAGCCGGGTTTGGTTCCCCACTCCTCCTCCACTCGCACCTGCTGGATGACCTTGGGCAAGCCCTAGTTCTGATAAGAGCTGTCCTTGAAAAAAAGATCCGTTTCCGTCAGAGCTCTCTCAGGCCCAGCCGCCTCACAGGGGGTGTCTGTTGTGGGGAGGGGAAGGGAATTGGAAGCCCCTCTGAGACTCCTTTGGGTAGTGAAGGGCCATGGGGTATGAATCCAATCTCTTCCTCTTCTTCTTCTTCTTCCCGTCTCCTGCAGGCTGCTGTCGCTGGAAGGGAACCCGCTGCCGGAGCGCTCTTTCCACAAACTGATTGGTGAAGAGAGCACGTAAGTGGGGGGGGGGCTCCCGTGGGGAGCAGAGGGGAGAGGATGTTTCCAGGGGGGCCGGGAGGGGCCCTTGGGCAGCGTGTGCAGGGGGGGGGTGGCACGGTCTGGGGCCGGCCTCTCCCCAGGTTGGGGCCTTGCTTGGAGTCCCAGCCTGCTTGCTCTCTGGCCTCTGCCCTTCGCCACCCCCCACCCCCCCCAGAGCACAGCCAGGTGGGGTTGCTGTGCCCACGCAAGCCCGGCCAGAGGGGAAGAGCCAGTCTGGGGGCGGGGAGTGTCTGCAAAACCAGAGGCCTCCCAGGTACCGGGCGCGGGCCCCCCCCCCCCCCCCCCCGCCGCTGAGCCCCCCGTCCCTTCGCCGCACAGCTTGGCCCACGTCTCCCTGCGCAACAACGACATCGACGACGAGGCAGTCGCTCTGATTGGGCAGGCGCTCTCCTCCCTCCGGACCGCCAACAAGACCCTGGTCTCCATCAACCTCAGCTACAACCACATCACGGACGCGGGAGCCGCCTCCCTGGCAAACGTGAGCCCTGCAAGGGGGGCCTGGGCCTTTGGGACGCTCCCGAAACACGCCCACGCTGCTGGGAGAGGGCGCAGTAGGAAAACCATACTAAGAAGCGCCACTCTGTGTAACTGCACAGGACGGGTCACGTCAGCCAGTGGAGAAAACCCTTCGGAGAGTATGGCCGAACGAGGAGGACAGTTTATTGGGGTAGAATGGAACTCGCGTGCACTGAATACAAATGCAGAGGGATTCTCTCAAGAAGCACACATGACTAAGAATTAACACGCACCTCCACAGACTAGCCAAGCAGAGAAGCTTCAAGGGGAGATTGCAACGCAAGATTGCTGAACCGGAGTTCATTCACAGGTCCAGAACAATGGACCCCCCAGGACTGAATAGGGACACAGGAGCCTTATCTCACTGCAGATGCTAATTTTCTGCCTCCCAGCATGTCCCCTCTGCTCTAATCAAGACAATTGCGATATTTTTGGACCTCTTCTTCCTGAGTTTCTCATTTGCAACACCTCATAAGAACATGAGAGAAGCCAAAAAAAGAAGAAGAACATAACAGAAGCCAATGTTGGATCAGGCCAATGGCCCATCCAGTCCAACACTCTGTGTCACACAAATACCAGGGGCCATTGGGAGGTCCACCAGTGGGGCCAGGACACTAGAAGCCCTCCCAGTGCTACCCCCCCCAAGCACCGAGAATACAGAGCATCCCTTGCCCCAGCCTGAGAGTGCCTATCTATACCTTGTGGCAAATAGCCACCGATGGACCTCTGCTCCATATAAGAACATAAGAGAAGCCAATGCTGGATCAGGCCAATGGCCCCTCCAGTCCAACACTCTGTGTCACACAGTGGCCAAAAATACCAGGGGTCCTCAGGAGGTCCACCAGTGGGGGCAGGACACTAGAAGCCCTCCCACTGTTGCCCCCCCCCAAGCACCAAGAAGACAGAGCATCCCTTGCCCCAGAGCCCCTATCTATACCTTGTGGCTAATAGCCACTGATGGACCTCTGCTCCATATGCTTATCTAATTCCCTCTTGAAGCCGTCCATGCTTGTAGCCGTCACCACCTCCTGTGGCAGGGAATTCCATGTGTTCATCACTCTTTGGGTGAAGAAGTACTTCCTCTTATCCGTTCTAACCCGACCGCTGAGCAGTTTCATGGAGTCCCCACGAGTTCTTGTCTTGTGAGAAAGGGAGAAAAGTACTTCTTTCTCTACCTGCTCTATCCCAGGCATAATCTTATAATGATCATGTCACCCCTCAGCCATCGTTTCTCCAAGCTAAAGAGCCCCAAGTGCTTCAACCTTTCCTCATAGGGAAAGTGTTCCAACCCTTTTATCATCCTAGTTATCCTCTTCTGCACTTTTCCCCAGTGCCATCATATCTTTTTTGAGGATAGAATGTCCTCCCTGCTGACTGGGATGGGAGGGCTCCGAGCTCTCCGGTCTGGCAGAAGGAGTCTGGCCTTGCTGACCTCTCAGGTGCTGCTGGACTCCAATCGAGCAGGAGGTGACCAAGTTTTTGGAGTAACGTCAATGAGAAAAAAGAGACTCATCAATGCTTGGGTTCCAGTCATATGGGAGAGAGCCAGAACGTCCTATGGTGCATTTTTCTCATTTTCTGGGAATGGAAATTGGCCACTTGAACATTAATTTGATTGTCTTCTACTCCATAGTCTTCTGATGAAGAGTTCGAAAGAGGACAACATAGCAGAGTCCTGTCTTGCCTGTCCTTTTGATGTACGTAAGGACGACCCTGCCTAAAGGATTTCCTTCATTGGCTGACGTGTCCGGTCCACTGTAGTTGTACAGCGGGGTCCTTTTCAGTATTTGTTTTCTTTCTGTGTGTATGTGCACACCACATCTCCTTCTGGTGTCGGTTATGCAAGAGGGAGGCTGTGCCACTCTCGGAAGGAAGCCAGCCAGCCAGCTACCGGGGGGGGGGGGCGGACACCCCTCAGGCACACCTTTGGCGCTGTGGGCCTCTCCCGGCCCCCGGGGTCACAGGCCCTTTTCGCTCATTTCCCTTTTGCCAGCTTTATCAATGGGCGCCTAATTTGCTTTTTACTGCGGAGCTGGGGGAATAAGGCACATTCTTATTTCAAGCCAAACATGGAGCCCACCTGTCTGCCGTTGACTGCACTCCTCTTTCTTGGGGGGGGGGGGGCATTGCTCAGTGGCAGAAAGAGAATCACTTCAGCATGCAGAAGGTCCCGGGTTCAGTCCCCAGCAGCATCTCCAGTGAAAAGGACCAGGCGGGTGGGTGGGAAAGATCTTTCTCCGTCTGAGACCCTGGAGAGCGGCTGCCAGCCTGAGCCGGCGATACTGGTCTCGATGGACGGGGGGGGGGGTCGCCTGACTCGGCGTAGGGCAGCTCCAGGGGTGTGTGTGTGCTCACGTGTGTCCTCGGTTGCCTTCGGCCAGGGCTTGCGCCTCAACCGCTCCCTGCTTTCCCTCTCGCTGTCGCACAACCGCATCGGGGATGACGGAGCCCTGAAGCTCGCTGAGGTCAGTCTCCGGGGGCTGGTGTGAGGGGCCGTGAGCGTGGCCTGCCTCAGGGTGGCCCAAAGGCCTCCCTGCAACGGGGGGGGGCAGGGAGCGCTGGCCCGTGGCAGCAGCTGGAGTGGCCCCCCCTCCCCTTGCCTCGTAGATCCTCGCCCCCTTTGCGCTCACGCACACCGAGGTCGTGGAGAGACGGCGGCTTTTGCTGGAGAAGGAGTACCACGACCGATGCCGGATGGTAAGGAGTAAGCGGGGAGGGAGCCCCCCTCCGAGCTCCCCCCCCTCCTGTGGGCCCAGCCCACCTTCCCTGCATCAGGATTCGGGCCTCCAAGCCAAGGGCAGCCTGGGCAGGGGGCCCGCCAAGCCCTTCTGCGGCTCCAGGGCTGATCCCTCGAGCGGGGGGGGGGGAGGCTCCAAACCCAGCACGTGGTGAGCGGGGGGGGTGTTTCCCCCTCCTCTGAGCCTCCCGCCACCCCCCCCTCTCTCTCTGCTCTCTCCCAGCCCCAGAGGCAATCGGATGTCAAGTCCGACCGTCCTTCCAGCCACCTGAGCAGCACCACGCTGGAGAAGCTGCAGCCCGTCAAGGCCGGCAAAGTGGCCGGAGGCGCCAAGAAGAAAGTGAGGGGGCCGGAGGGAGGGAGGGAGGGGCTTCCACCCGGGGCCCCAAGAGGCCAGTCCCAGTGTGGGGGGGCCTCCGTGAGCCCTTCTCCCTCCCTCCCCTCACCCATCCTTCCCTTTCTCTGCACCAGCCCCCCCCCCCAAAAAAAACCAAACACTCTCACCCTGCCCTCTCCTGGATGATGATGGGGGGGGGGGGGTTCCCTGCTTGTTCATTTTGCCAAGGGAGCATTGAGAGGATAATCAATGGGGGGGAAATCCACACACGCACACACCCCACCCCACACGTGGTCCTTGTCAGAGGCTCCAGGCAGGCTTCCTGGCCAGTTTGGTGTCCCGGTGAAGTGCGCAGAGGACTCTAATCTGGGAGAACCGGGTTTGATTCCCCACTCCTCCACTTGCACCTGCTGATGTGACCTTGGGTCAGTCACAAGCTCTGGCACAGCTGTCCTGGAAAAAGAGCAGTTTGTGTCAGAGTTCTCTCAGCCCCCCACCTACCTCACAGGGTGTCTGTTGTGGGGCGGGGAAGGGAAAGGGGTTTGTAAGCCGCTCCGAGACTCTGAGTGAAGGGCCATGGGGTGTAAATCCAATCTCTTCTTCTGCGGCCTGAGCCTCCAGCGTGTCCCCCTGGAACACACAGTCTGGGATGGAGCGGGGGGGGGCAAGGTGAGCAGGAGGCTGTCCCGCTAGCCCTGAGCGCGAGTGGGGCTGGTGATGGGTAGAGTACTTGTAGTTACTTCACATGTGCCCCATCCCTGCTGGGCCGTGCAGGGATTCGGGGAGGGGGAGCTCTTTGCTTCTTTTCACCCGGACTCTCTCACCTTCTAATGGTCACAACCTCCAGTACGTGCCCGTGGGGATGGGCAGATACTACCCCGTGCAGCCCCCTGAAGCCATCCCCTTCGTTGCTTCTGGGGCTGGCCATTTGAGCGATGGAGGGTTAAGCCCCCCTTCCCCTTCCCTCCAGCCGTGTCCTGCTGCCCCCCGGTGGGCTCAGGCCTCGTCACCCTCCGTGGGAGAGTGTTTTGAGTGACCAAGTGCCGTCTCTTGCACGGGTCACAGAACACAGACCCGCCAGCACCAAAAAGTAGAGATGCTCAGCCTGCATCCCAGGGCTCAACTGCTCCCCCAAGTTCACCTGACTCCTGGGACCAAGGCTCCCTCTCAGCTGTGGAGTCTCCTTGTGAGCAAAAATTCTACTTTATGAGCTACGGGCATTAAAGTGGTGAGCAGGCAGGGGATTTGGCTGCTGCATCAATGAGTCTGCTCTGGAGCCCTCCTTCCTGAGCCAAGGCAAAAATGTGTCAGCCGTAGGCTAGAAAACTGTGAGCTGGCTCACACTCACTCAGCTCAGAGGGAACCCTGCTCCTGGGAGAGGTACTTCCCTTCTCTCTGGAATGTCTGCGGCCACCACCTGGTTGAGCCCCAGCCTTCCACCTGCGTCGCAGCTTATGGGTTATGCCTGTGTGTGTTTACGCACTGACCACCAGTCAGGACAGCTCACAGAGCCTGCACGCGCCCAGGAATTTAACTGCCTCTCTTCCGTTGTACTTTATCAGGCTTATTCTGGCTCAGAGAACAGACTTCCAGTATTCAAAATAACAAAGTTTATATCTTCCTTCATAAGATCCAGCGGCCCCGTAACTTTTCTGTGAACACCAGGGCAAAGGGAGAGAAACTGGCAGGCTCTGAGGGACCTTCTCAGTAGGCAAACAAGTGGCAGAGTCCACATCGGCCCAGAGGGTGGGGGGTGGGGGGTAAGCAGTCCTCAGATGCCTCGCCTGACAACACTTCCAGAGACATTCCGTTAATTCTGAGAGCGAGTGCAGTGCGGTGGTGAAGTGCAGGCGGACTCTAATCTGGGAGAACCGGGTTTGATTCCCCCACTCCTCCACTTGCACCTGGCTGGATGGCCTTGGGCAAGCCGCAGTTCTGATAAGAGCTGTCCTTGAAAAAGAGCCGTTTCTGTCAAGAGCTCTCTCAGCCCCGCCTGCCTCACAGGAGGGTGTCTGTGGTGGGGAGGGGAAGGGAAAGGAGTTTGTCAGCTGTTCTGAGACTCCTTCGGGTAGTGAAGGGCCATGGGGTATAAATCCAATCTCTTCTCTTCTTCTAATTGCACTCTGCCAGTTAAAATTTCAGTGGGAAAAGCTAGCTGGCCGAAGATCAACAAGAGCCTCTGCTACCTATAGCAACAAAAAAAGAGCAAGAGTCCAGGAGCACCTTAAAAGCTAACAAAATCTGTGGCAGGAAAGGAGCTTTCGTGAGCCACGTCTCCCTTCTTCTTGGTACCTGATGAAGTGAGAGAGCTCCTCCCCTGCCACAGATTTTGTGAGTCTTGGAGGTGCTCCTGGACTCTCCCTCTTTCCTGCTGCTACAGACAAACCCAGCTTCCCCTCTTGCTCTACTTGCTACCCGTGTTTCTGTAGGAGCCAAAGGAACTGCTTCAGGAATCCTCGTGGCATGACCCACCAGAGTCAGAATAAACTGCTTTTGCTTCTAAGTAGGCTGGGGGAAAGGTCCAACTCTGTCTCTGCCCACACGCTGAACTGTCTCTCCCATGAGAGGGAGGGGCTGCAGAGGTACCCTCTCCCCCCCCCCTCCGGCAGCCACTTTTGCCCGCTTGCTGGCAACCTGAAGGTCATCCCAGACGTTTTTGCCCTGACCTGGGCCGGTAGAAATTCAACGGAAGCTCCCGTGTCTGGTCTGGTTGATCCCTAAGTTCCCTGCACAAGGTATGTCGTGAGCCAACTCCATGGGTCTCCTCCTATACTTTTCTGGAACAAGGCGCTCAACCACTTTCCAAGACTCCTGTCTGTCCCAGAGTGTCTGGAGCCTACACAACCTGCCCTGATTGCAAGCACTGGTTCTGAGCGAGTCTCCAAAAAATTCCACTTCTCCATCCAAGGCTACTTGGTGAAGCAGTTCCAAGCTAGGGCCACTATAGACCTCCTGCCCTCAGGGGGTCCAGCAGTGGGGCCAGGACACCAGAAGCCCTCCCACTGTTGCCCCCCCCCCAAGCACCAAGAATACAGAGCATCCCTTGCCCCAGACGGAGAGTTCCTATCCATACCTTGTGGCTAACAGCCACTGACGGACCTCTGCTCTTAACATAAGAGCATCAGAGAGAAGCCAGTGTTGGATCAGGCCAGTGGCCCATCCAGTCCAACACTCTCTGTGTCACACAGTGGCCAAAAATGCCAGGTGCCCTCAGGCGGTCCACCAGGGGGGCCAGGACACCAGAAGCCCCCCCCCCCACTGTCCCCCCCCCCATGCACCAAGATTACAAGAATGATTGTGGAATCATCAGTCCACTACTCTCCCCTCAGCCTTATGTGAGACAGACTGGCTTTCTCCCTTGGAAGACTAACCACGTCTTGCTGGGTCCGGGGAGGATCGCACCCTCCCCCCATTTCCTGCCTTGGAAAACTAACCATTTCCTGCTGGGTGAAACTGCGCCCCTCCCTCCGTTCCCGGAAGAGGTCGGTCTCCCTCTCCAGGGTTCCTGAGCCCGCCCCCCTCCCTCCCTGGACAGCCTGAACCATTTCCTCCACCTGAGCTGGTGGCCCCCAGAATGGCGAGGGGCACTCCAGTAGCGCCCCCCCCCCCCGGATTCTGAAAGGCAGTGTTTGGTGCGGTGCCCCTCAGATAGGCCCATACTAACCAGACAGAGGCACCAGTATTGGATAGTCCCCAAGCCAATTAATCTCGTAGCTACTGCTGACGCTTCAGCCTCTGGGTTGGCTGGCGCTTTGCCCACAGGATTTATTAATGTCCTACCCCGCCCTCCCGGCCAGGGCCAGCTCAGGACAGAAGATTCTCTGCTTGTTCCAGGGCCTGTGACTCCCTGGGGTGGCCTCTCCCTCCACAGTTAGAGCATTTCTGCTCCTGGGGCCAGTTCCAGTGAGCCAAATTAGGGGCTTCCTCAACCTCTGCCTGTGCAGAAGCCCCTGCCTATTTGGAGCTAAACTTCCTGACTGGGAAGGGTGGTTGAGCAGTGTTCTGTTCGACTGCCTCGGGAGGCGGTGGAGGCTCCTTCGCTGGACGTTTCCAAGCGGAGGCTGGACGACCATCTTCCGGGTTATGTTGTAGGGCTGTCTTTCGGCTGCGCTCCTGCAGAGTGCAGGGGGTTGGACTGGATGACCTGCAAGGTCCCAGTTCTGAACATTCTATGATTCTGTGGAGTGAGAATCAACGTTCCCCCCCCCTTCTGGAACCCTTTTCCTCTCCCTTCCAACCCCTCCTGATTTAGTCTCAGTTCATCCTCAGGGTCCAGGGGTTTAGCTACAAGGGGGAAACTGACCCGGCACGAACTGCTGGAATAAGGCTTCATATTCCTCTGCCGTTGTCTTTTGCCACCCGTTTGAGTCCCACGTCAACCATTTTCACCACACGGTCACTGTATGTGTTGTTACCCTGCTGGGGCAATGGTATGCTCAGCTGTTTGTGGAAAGGATCCTGCCCAAACCTGAACTGTTTGAAAACTCTTTCAGTGTAACTCTCCCACTCAACCAGAGGCAAGCTGTCGTGGGCAGGACGCTGGAGAAAGCCGGACGTGCAACCCACCTCCCGGGCTCCTCATTGTGTAGCTGTTTCCTCAAAGGCAGAGAGAGAGAGAGAGAGACGCCAAGGGGCCCTCCCCCTCCCTGTAAGGAGCAAAATCCTGAAGAGTCACACGGATTTCTCTGCTGTGCTCAGCCAGCAGGCAAAACACCTCCCAGCTTGTGGACTCTGCTGCTGCTGCTCCTCTGGCAACCTCTCCCTCTTTCCTTCCCGCTTCTTTCCCCTGAACGGCCACAGCTTCCTCCGCTCCTGCATCTCCCAAGGCTTCACTCTCCTCCCTCTGTGGCCGGCTTTGCTTTCACCGCTGGTTCCACGCTCCGCATCTCGTCCATCCTGCTGGTTCAGGTTCTTGGACTCCGCTGCTCCTGCCCCCGGCTGACTCACGGGGGACCGAAGAGCCACTGCTTGCGTACGGAAACTTTTAGCTCATCTACAGACTGGCTTCTACTTTCAGTCTGCTTTCTGCGATGTTCCCCCGGTAGCTCTGCGGTTTCGTTTTCACGACCCTGTGCTCCGCACTAGTCTGATGTGACCACCCCCCAGTCGACCTAGAAATGAGACGAAACGTAATTGCTCTTGCTGAGCATGTGCGTGCCAAAATTTCTTAAATGGCTGGGCCAATCAAGTTCTCGTATTCTCTCATGCCACCGCCAACAGGTGTTGCAGAACACCCTGCTGACCTGCAAGTGCTGGTCCCCTTCGGGTCCTCCCAAAGGTCGGGACATTCAAGTGGCAACCTTGGTTCTTCGCTCAGCAGCACATTGCTCTCTGGTGCCCACCTGGCTCCCAGAGGGGGGTACCTTGCTTCTCAATATTTCCGCTGCCACCAGCCGGTCATGAAGAGTATTACCTGCTGAGAGGGCCAGCAGCCTTAGCACTTCATCCTCATTTTTTATGGGCTCCACCTAGTGCCTGTGTCTGCTGCTTCCACTCTGACTCGCCTTGACGGGGACCTCTTACTGCAGTTGCACACTCATGGGGATCTAGTGATCTACTGACCAACTGCCTCCCTTCCCTGGCATCCTTTAAGTAACATGTTTGAGTGGGGCGTATGGAGAACAAACTTTCCAGTATTCAAAATAAGACATTTATTAAAAAGAAAATGGCGACACACATCCTCAGCACAGCAATGGACTGAGCAAGGTTATAAAGGAAAGGTGCATACACATAATTCTCTGTCCTCTGGCTAAAAAGATCAATTATTGTTATCGTGGGATAGGGTGTTTACCCTTAAAATTACAGCACATTCTGTAACTCCTCCATTACCTTGAGTCTTTGTCTAGACTGCCTGCCCCTTGTTAGCGCCATGTGGTGATGGCAGCCATCCAGATGGACTCAGCCAAGACGGATCTCACATAACGAACCTGTGAAAATGGAACCCTGTTCCCCTTGTGTCCAGGGAATTGATTAGCTCTCTCTACCCACCCTATTGTGGGTCATTCATTCTCTTCCTGTCATTCCCAGGGCAGAGACAATCTAGCATTTAGCTCGTCACCTCCTAGGCATCGCATTCCCACCAGAGGTTGTCCGCTGTTGGCTTAGAAACATTTGCATAAGCGAGCCTGAAGTGCGGGGTGCTTGTGTGAGCCGTCAACAGGAGTGGGGTGCTCACAGAGCAGTGAACGGCTCTCCTCTTGGCAGCAGAGAAACTTCTTAAAACGAATGTGGGGTTTTTGTAGTCCCAAAGGCTCCCTAGCAGTGTTCCCTCTAAGCTGAGTTAGTATGAGCTAGCGCACAGTTTTTTTAGCCTCTGGCTCACAGATTTTTGTCTTCGCTCAAGAAGGATGGCTCCGGGAGCAGACTGATTTATGCAGTAGCCAAATTGCTCGCTCACAACTTTAATGCCAGTAGCTCACCAAGTAGAATCTTTGCTCACAAGACTCCACAGCTTAGAGGGAGCATTGCTCCCTAGTGGGATGTGGCCGAAGTGTAGTGTGTTGGACTCACCCAAACACACAAGTGCCCCTGTGCCTTTCCTATTCTGCTGCTCGGGCCTTTGGCCCAGACCTTTGCCGTTCCAGAGCAGGAAGGCTCCACTGCTACACGGTGGAGGTAGGCCTGAGGGATCCCACCCAACTCCCACTCTGGCATACGAGGCCCTTCAGACACGCCCTGATCTCCGGGGCCCAGCAGGTGCAGCATCAGCCTGGCACGGAGGGCCTAAATGCACACGTCTACACCGGCAGCCCCTGAGGGCTTACTCCCCAGGCAGGACCGGGGCGGGCGGGCGGGCGGCGGTGGAGTCTGAGGACAGCCGGTGTATCCTGACCCTGACAGGAAGCTGCCAAGAAGGAGGAGAAGGGGCCGGGGAGTGGTGGGGCAGCCCCGCAGGCCGGCGGAACCGCTCAGGCCAAGAAGGAAGAGGTCAAGCAAGCCAAGAAAGGTCTGTCCTGGACCAGCCCCTGGGCGGAGGGGGAGAGGGGCCTCGCTCGGGGATCCCTCCCTGACCCCCTCCTCACTGGTTCCCTCCCTCAGCCATCCCCGCCCCGGAACAGAAAGCCGCTCGCGGTAAAGGAGCAAAATCTGGCAACAAGGACAAGCGGTCCCAAGTCCTGGAAGTGGAGGTAAGGCCCGGATGACTCCCAGGCCAGGCGTTCCCGCCTGCGGTTGGGGACCGGCTCTGCTCCAGCCTTGGGAGTGCCTCCGCGGGAGACTGTGGCGCTGGGCTGGGCGCCAAAGGTGACACACACACACACACCCCAGCCTCATCCCCCGTGGTCCTGGGAGGGCCCCATGTAGAGCCCCATGTAATGTGGGTGTAACCAGGGGGGGCGTACTTCAGTGGCCGTGTCTCTCCTGCCCAGGAAAGGCCGCAAGTGACTATAGCCAGTCAAAACTGGTCAAAACAGCACCCCTGCTGGCCACCGCCGCCACCTGCTTACCTGGCCGTGGGCCTGCATCCAAGAGCCCCCCTGGACTACATGCTTGTCCCTTCAAAGGGTGTGAAATCCCATCCACTGGAAACCCCGGCTCACTTCAGTCAGCTCGCCAATAACGCTTCTGTCTAGCTGGGGTTATTAGCTTGCATCCCCTCCAGGGGCCGGTTCAGAGATTCTACGGCCTCCTTGGGATCAGCTGGATCACTGACTTGCGCCAGCTAAGGTCAAGGGTCAGGACCCAGAGAATGTTAAGAACCCAGTCCATGGCCAGGATCCGCATTCACACCCTTGTCTGCCTCCCGGCTGGTTCCCTCACTTGTGGCTCCTGACCTGCCGCCAAGGCCACAACGGCCCCCGAGCCGCCTAGGGTGAGACACGTCCTCCCGCGAGACCGAGCTGTCTCAACGGGACCCTCCCCTTCTCGTTGGCAGGCCATGGAGCCCATGGAGATGGTGAACCCGCTCCTGGAGCAAGCCGAACACAGAGACGGGAAGGTTTTCCTGCCCGGAAATCGCGTCCTTATCTACCTGAACCTCATTCGTATGTTTGCTGGGGTGGGGTGGGGTGGGGTGGGGAGGGCTGATGGCCAGTCCACATCCAACCCCGGACAGGGTGCTTGGAGCTCAGCAGTGGCCTGGTTTGGGCAGGACCCTGAGCACTGTGCCAGGGCCCTCGGGTGGAGTGGGAGCTCGGAGACTTAGTTCTGCCCTCTTCGTCACTCCCCCGCCCAGGCAACCAAATCACAGAGTGCGGCTTGAAGGCCTTTCTGACTACGGTGGAGCAGCAGGCGCTCAAGGGGCCCAGCCCGGGAAAGGGGCCCGCGGGGCTCCTGCGACTCTCGCTGGGGGTGAGTCCGAGCTTCAGGGTCATTTCGACTCTGCCCTTCTCGTGGAAAGGTGGACTGCAGGCCCCTGTCTGTCTGGCCACTAAAACGTACCCCTCAGTTCCACTCTTAGGGCGGCGGCGGGAGGTGTGTGTTTCCTCATGAATTCAGCGCAGTCCGGAAAGTAAATACACACATTCGGTCCGGAAGATGGACCGGGCCGGGAGGAAGCAGCACGAAAGGCGAAGGGAATGTTGGGTGCCCTTCGCGGAGTGGGTGGCAGAAAGGATTTCCAACCCAAGCCTGAAGTTTCGTTCCCAGACGTGCTGGATGGCAGGAAGCGGAACTGCCACCATGTCCCGCTCTTGGCCCTTCTCCCGGCCCGCTCACCCCGATTCCGACCCTTTCAGAAGAACAACTTTCCCTCGGAGAGCAGGACCTTTGCCCGGATCCAAGAGCTCATGACGCCTCGTGACCCCCTTCCGAGGACCACCAAGATAGCGGAAGAGGACCAGGTTTCCAGTATATAGCGCCAGCCCACCAGCACCCAATCGTCGTTCCCTCTCCCCCCCTCCCCGTGCCTTTGGATTCAGTTTCAGCCGCCGGGCTGAGCGAGGCCATCGCAGACTCCCAGGACTGAGCAAAGTGCAAATAAAGGAGAAGCGACGCTAGAACGGTCTCCTCCTTCCGGGGTTCAGGATGCAGTCCTGAGTGCAGAGTGTGTGGCGGGGCCACGGAACCTGTGTGCTGCTGAGAGTGCACGTGCCGGAACCATGCATCGGACACGGTGTCGTGGTTAAGGGCAGTGGACTCTGGAGAGCCGGGTCTGATTTACTTGGGCAATGCTCCAGGCCTTTGCGTTATTGCAAACAGACCCCCAAAAGGCCAGCAGAGGGAAGAATATTTGACTGTTCCTTTTTAAAAAATCTTTAGTGTTAACAGAAAATTAAAACGGCTCTTGGCAAACAGAATGTCTCTACAGCCTGGTCTCTCTGCTCTCCATATCTTACGTGCATCATGCTGCTGGTGCTGCAGTGGGGTAGGGGGCAGCCGAAGCGTAACCGCTCCCCCCTCCCCCAGGCCTGGGTGCAGCTTGAGAGCAAGGGCTTGCCCGGGCTCCGGTCCAGCTCCGTCCTCCCAGTGGGTGGTTCAAGGCTTGGCCTGGGAGAGGAGACCTCTCTCCGTGACGCGCTTAGCCACCTGTCCAGCCGACTGCTGAGGCAGGTCCTCTTCGCACAGGCACAGGGACATCAACCAGAGCAGACCCCAGGACGGCCCCCGCCAAGCACACGCACTCTCAGGCTGGAGGGGCCTGGGCCAGTTTGGTGTCGTGGTTAAGTGAACATAAGAACATAAGAGACGCCAATGTTGGATCAGGCCAAAGGCCCATCCAGTCCAACACTCTGTGTCACACAGTGGCCAGAAATACCAGGTGCCACCAGGAGGTCCACCAGTGGGGCCAGGACATTAGAAGCCCTCCCACTGTGCGCGGACTCTAATCCGGGAGAACCGGGTTTGATTCCCCACTCCTCCACAGGCAGCTGCTGGTATGACCTTGGGTTGGTTACAAGTTCTTTCAGAGCTCTTCTCTCAAGGGTAGTCCTCGAGAGAGCTCTCTCAGCCCCGCCTACCCCACAGGGTGTCTGTTGTGGGGAGGGGAAGGGGAAGGAGATCGTAAGCCGCTCTGAGACTCCTTTGGGTAGTGAAGGGCCATGGGGTAGAAGTCCAATCTCCTCCTCTTCTTCTCTTCTGAGGGGATGTGGGGGAGACGGCCCCGCCACCTGGCTGGCGTGCACCCGCTCCCCAACCCCCTTCCCCAATCGAGCCAGGGTGGCAGAGGGCAGAAGCCTTTATATCTGCTAGTTACCAAACAGGGTAGAAGGGCAATTTTTTAAAAAAAAAAGTAAAAAGGCCAACGGTCTATCCTTATATTTACAGTAACTCAATACACATACATACATATTTATATCAAATTGAAGGTCTGGAAGCAGCTGGCTGCTCTCCAAGAGGCATGGAGAGAAGAAACAAAAACCACCCCGAAAAAGTGCAATTATACAGAATATATTCCAGCTTTCATGTACGGGGTGGGGGGTGGGGGGAGCGGCAAGTCTGCAGGATACGGAGAGGTTCCGGCCCGAGAGGAGGGATGCCGTCGGGGAGCCGAGCCGAAGACCCGGAGCAGACATGCGCGGCAAGGGCAGCAGGGACCATCTCCCTTCGCCCTGAACGGGCAAAAAAAAAAAAGTTTCCCCCTGGCAGGTCTTACCAGCTGTCCATCGCAGAATGGGAGGAAGTCCCAGTATCGCTTTAAAAATAGTTTAAATTAAACCAGCAGTGAGGATTCCAGTTTCTCCTGGTGGGTTCGTGCCGCTTGCAGGCTGCGTCCCAAGCAGTCCATCCCAACAAACGGCGGGAGACACACACGCGCACACCCCCGCCCCAGCAGTGTGTGTGTGTGGCGGAGACAGCCCGAGCCGCCTCGTTGAGTCTTCCTTCGAGAAAAGGCCGGTTCCCTAAAGGGTCACTTCTTGGTCGCTGTCTGCACAGGGGGGGAGCTGACCTGGAAGGGAGGCAGAGAGGGGAGAAGAAGCAGCAGGTGCCAGCCAGCCACGGCAGCCAGCCGGAGCTCTGCAACGACCATCCCGGGCCCCACGGAGGGGAAGGGGGTCAGACCGTCTGCCGGGCGATGGGGAGGGGGGAGCTCCCTTCTCCTTACCAGGCTCAGCGGCTGCTGCTGGGGACTGCAGGGAGGGCCACGGGTCACGGGAGCCGTCCGGGTTGCAATGGCTGCCTGGCGACGTCTCGCAGGGCCCCGGGGGTGCCCCAGCCACAGAGGGGCCGTCCACGGAGGCCTCCCTGCTCAGCGACCGTCGCAGCTGGTGATGGGCCACCTCGACATCCTGCAGCAGAAGCCAGCCAAGAGGGCACGGTGAGGGAGGGAGGGAGGGGGTGGGGCCTTCAGAAGGGGGCTCCGTGGCCAGAGGGCTCCCTGAACCCGGCACAGGATCCAAGCACGGGGACACTTGGCCACCTGGCTGCACCCTGGGCAGGAGAAGGCGCACAGTGGGGGGGCAGGCGGGTGGAACGTCCCCCTCAGGGCAACGTGTCACCTCTAGAGCAGCACGCCACGTCCCCCGAGCTACCACGCACGACAGAAATGACTGACTTTAGATGTTTCCCCCATCTGAAGTGTGGTGTTGGAGGAGAACTTTACCGATATCACGGACTACCAAAATCGGTGGGTTGGGTTCCGGATCAAATCCAGCCTGAACTATCCCTAGAAGCTAAAAGGACCGAACTGAGGCTGTCGTACTTTGGTCACTTTGGTCACGGGGAAAGACCATAACGCCGGGGGGAAAGTGGAAGGCAGCAGGAGAAGAGGAAGACCCAACAGGAGACGGAGGGACTCAAGTCGAGGAAGCCAGGAGGGCCCTCGGTTGGCAAGGTCGAACAAGTAGACCTTTCAGAGGAGGACATTAATTCAGAGGGTCGCCATGAGTCAAAAGTGACTCGACGGCACGTCACACCCACCCACACGCAGACAGACATTTCCCTTTAGAATCCATGGAGGGGGTGCTCCTGGCCTAATATCTTGGGTTCCAAACACGGTTCTGTTTCACATTATTTAATGTCACAGCTTTGGAAAAGAACATAAAAGGGCAGCCAATGTTGGGTCAGGCCGATGGCCCCTCCAGCCCAACACTCTTCTGTGTCACAGGGTGGCCAGAAATACCAGGTGCCATCAGGAGGCCCAGCAGTGGGGCCAGGACACTAGAAGCCCTCCCACTGTTGACATCCCCACCAAGCACCAAGAACCATACCAGTGGGGTTATTCACTATGCAAAAGAAGAGGGATGAAATGGCGGAAAATAACAAACTGACACTTGAGATGAGAGCCGGTACAGAATGGACTTTTCAAAAAACTTGGAAGAGATTCTATGACTGGCATAATGTAAACGCAACTGATAGATAAATGTAGCAATTTGAGAACGTAGAAAAGATAAGCTTAGCAAAACAGATAATGAATTTAGAAATTTGATAAGCAGAAGAAGTGATAAAAGTCTCATGTTATATGTTGTTGGGGGTAGTTGGGTGTTGTCTGTCTGTATGTTTGTAGTATATAATGTAAAAAACAACAACAATAAAGGTGTACCCTCGGGTACTTAAAAAAAAAAAAAGAGGAGGAGGGATGGGTCTGCCTCCTCCAGCCCAGGAGCGCTTTCAAGCGTGGGAAGTTGTCACGGCCTCGAGCACAACGCCTTCTGCCCCCGGCACAATGAGGTTTGGCCTTGGGGTACGGATGCACCCCGGAATATTCCACTTCCGCCCCCCTTCTCCCACCCCCCTGGGAGACTGCAGACAGAGCAACAGCCCCCCCCCCATGGTCAGGGTGGCCCACCCCACGGGCAGCTGCCGCCCCCGCCCTCCTCACCTTTAGCTTGGTCAGCTTCCGCGTCAGCCGTTCTATCGTCCGGAAGATCACGGCCACGTCCCGAGCCACTTGGCCGGAGGAGGGGGGCAGCTCCGGAGGCACGGAGCCGTCAGGGGCATTCGACCGCTGGGGGCTCCTCCCGGGGTGTCGCTGGGAGACGTGGGGTGCGGCAGAAGAGACGGCCCTTTGCTGGCCTGGAGGGCCTGGGGCCTCCGGGGGGCACGGGCTGCCAGCATCTGTGTGGGACTCGGCAACGCCTGGGAAGCTGACGTAGAAATAGTTCCCTGCGGAAGACAGACACCCTTGGGGGGGGGGTGTGCGTGCGTGCGTGCAAACGTCTCAAGGAGCCCCCCCCCCACCTTCCTGGCTGCAGATTACACCCGGCCTTGTCCCCCA